CAATTTAGTTTTTCGTCATTCAAGTATTACCGACGCTTATTATCGTAACTTAAAATAATGATTCTAGTAAACAGGATTATTTATGTCACCTTGATGACAACGTAATTGATCCATTTACAGGCTTATCTAGAATACTAGGTCAGGTTCAGCAGTCTACAAAGGAATTAAAGTGAAAAAAAAACTAGTCCTCATGACTTCATAAGAAATTAAGCATCAAGTTTAAATATTTGATATATTATTCCAAATATTACTCCATAGCTGAGATTATGGAATTTCTCAAAAAATGTCGCATTCAACGAAAGTTTGATTATCCGTCGTGATCCCACTTAGTGACTCCTCACTGTGCACTTTATCATGCCAATGTTACAGATGGCATTGGGTTTATGAAATTACCACAACTTGAAATGACGTCTGGCAATAAATTCAACCGGCCGTCTGAAAGGTAAACGAATCCCAGAAAATCACGAATTCCATAACTCATATCCTGGCGGGATAAAAACGAGAGACACAGCATCAACAAAAATCTCCACTATGCAAACCGACGGGTGTCAGCATTGATAAATAGGAATCAGAACAATCTTGCACCCATAAACTATGATTGATTGTTTCGATGTTTGGTTGTTGAGGCATATCATAAAGCATCACTATAATCCCAGAAGGGGAACCGTTGAGCGATCTTTGCCTATATAACTATCATCATGTTCAGAAGGGTCCAATTTTTTCGTCATTATGTTATCACACTTCCGGTCGCTGTCGTTGGGTACGTTTGCCTTCCGTCAAGAACGAAGGCAATCGCAAGATGGATCGATGATTTCCTGTCAAGGTTATCGAAGAATTCTGGAGGCGGAGAGCACAGACGACGCCAAGTCGTGTGTGCTTGTTCGAGGTTGAATCTAAAAGCATTTCAATCCATTTCTAATGTGCGGTTTGATTCTTGGTTGCTTACATTCTCCTTCTGAGAGTGACTTCCAAATTCATCACAGGAGAAACCACCCCGAAAAGGAAGTAGACCTCCCACTGCTCTAACATAGCAGTCAGTTGTTGTTATTGTTGTTGGAAGAGAGTGGCTTGTATTTTGTCATGAATACGAAAACATTCCACACAAACAGGCTTGGTCCAACCAGATGACGACGATCCACAGTGTTGAGTTGTTGGACAACAAATAGGACGCCACACGTGCTTCATCATGCCGTTGCTGTTGTTCTTGTTGTTTAGCCATCGTGTCAAGCACATTCATCATCACCATCGTCATCATAGTTTGGATGATGTCTCACAGCCGTCGTCACCGATTCCACACGGTTGAACGGAGCTCAAGGGACCCCCGGTGGAGAAGGACACACAAATGGCCATGCTGGAAATGATGTTTATCGTAGTGTCTGGTGGGTCTGGCGCACCCCATCTCGGATGCCATATCAAACTGACGAATGAGCGACGCGCTCATGTTTAACGAGCCGTATCCCGATTCGTTTCGCTTTCACAGATCCGAAAGTATTGGTTCAAATTTTGGACGGTGTCGAACTTCCGACAGTCATTTTTCAATTTGACGTGAGATATTGTGTTCGAACGGAGTACTTTTACAGTTAAAGATTCTGAAAAAAATACTGACAAAGAGTGACCGGAATTGGCATCACTACGGTTGGACGGAAATAACATGCTAGGCCGCCTTGCGTGGGATCGGAACTGTCCGGGCCGAGTGTGACCATGGTGAGTTATGTATACAAATTGGCTGAAGAACGAATTAGTTGCTCGGTTGATTAGGATTTGCACCCACACACCAGGAAAAATTGAACAGCTGAGCTGAAAAGAATGAAGTTGTTGTTTTGCACTTCATTAGCCCATGGTGCTTCCTACTGGATGAGTGCAAAGATATGTGTGTGTTTGATGATGGTTACTTTACAGTTGATTGACTTATGAGTAAATGAATCAGGCCTACAATTAGGCAGTACCATTTGTTCGCAAAGTTGTCAGGTTTTTGTCCCCCTTTCAAAATTCACTCTTATAGTCTCTATGCGAAAAAGCAGCTCATTACCTAACTCACGTAACATTTGAAAAGCGCGTACAGTAGACTGATGCAAAATTTTAAATTTTCGCTCCACAGTGTTCAAACGGTTTCAAATCGGATTCTGTTTAGCCTCCGAAAGTTTAAACTCATTTGATAAGAAACTGACTTGGCACAAACCATTTGAAGTTTATATGGAAATTACTATGGGAAAACCAAGCTTTTTGTTCATTGTCTTCTAGCCGTTTTCCATATTGTACTGTTAACAAGTTCTATTACTATTCTTATGAGAATTTTTATCAGCTACAACTTTGCAGAAAATAGTTTTTCAGCCAAACGTCAAATTAAATAGTTATCAATTGTTTAAGAGATTGATAATCTTATGCCAAGATTGCGCAACTGTATTGTTGGCAACACTGTATACTGCAGTGTGACATAGTAGCCATGATTTTTATCCTCTATCCAGTATTTTACGATCGCTTATGGCCGTCACAATCTGGCTGAGTTTCTGGTAGGGAACATAAGATTTGAAGTTTGGGTTGTGTCGTTTGACATGTAAACGATCAAATTTGAACGTTTATACGTCAAACGACACAACCCAAACGTCAAATCATATGATCCCTACCAAAAACTCAGCCAGATTGTGGCGGCCATAAGCACCCGTAAAATGCTGGATTCTACGCGCCATAAACACCAATGTTGCCCGCTGAACAGTTGATTGAGCATAATCATAAGACATCAGTGACTTGAATCATTAATAATTTTTGTTCCTTATGTTTGATCGAAAAGTGGTCTAGAACAATGTTGTAGCAACTAGCTAAGCTATCATTTTCTAAAGTAGAGTGAACTGGTGAATTTTGAGATTGATATGAACCGAAATTATTGTTTCCCCATAGTAATTTTCATATAAACTTCAAATGGTTTGTGCCAAGTCAGGTTCTTACTAAAGGAGTTCAAATTTTGGGAGGATAATCAGGACCCAATTTGGAACCGTTTGAGCACTGTGGAGCGAAAATTTCAAATTTTGCATCAGTCTAGCGTAAACCCAACCGGGGGATGTAAGATTCGCTTACTATTATGTGGGATTCATTATCAGAGGATGCGGCATGAACCAAGGATGCAATATACCGAGCTGCGGTCCAATGTAAGAAAATGTGGAGTGTATAAGTGAGTGAAATTAATCATGTCGGAAAAAGAACTGCCGACTGTGGGACTCGAACCAAGAACGTTGCGATCAACAGACCTGTGCTTTCTCCACTGCTCTTTACATGCTTCGGGATATGGATAGGCTAAAAGCAAACCAGAGGGCTCATTTCTTAGCATACTCGACTTCGTTTGCTTTTCTGTTGGAGAAAATCGAGGCAAGTGTGTGCGTCGTTCTACCATGTTATACAAAACAATCAATGCAAATATAGAACACGGAATAAAACAGATTAAAAATCATTGCATCGTCTGCAAGGTCAACTTCTAACACTCGCTGCGATGTTCATGAACAGAGGATTAGAGGAAATGGAACTAACATTCATTGTAATAAATTTTTGGTTTAGGTGTACATTTACATCGACGTGACCACATCTTACCTTCCTAGAAAACAAATATCATAAAAGAAGAATGTGGCGAGTCGTGTTGCTCTTTAGACCTTCGCCATAATGGATGTAATAAAATAAAAGAATGAAACCACTGGACCGATTTTTAAGATCAATAGATTAAATGAAAAATTATTAAATCTAGGTTTTAGGAAAAACATGAATACTGATTTTAATCGTGGCTTAACATTGAAAAACATTGATTATAATCGATTTTCATGATGTTTATGGTCTCGGCACCAAAAGAACTATCGCATGTTAAATTGTTTCTTGAAAATTTTGTAGCTCAGATACGAAATAACATCGTATCCGAGCTACAATTTTTCAAAAATATTATGGTTTGAAAAATTGAGGCTCATGGCAGTTTATGAGCAAACATTAAATCTTAATATTTAAAAAAAATGTCAGAAACGTCCGTGTTCATATTTTTCCTAAAAACAAGGTTTAAAAATCTTTCATTTTAAACCAAAACATCTGTCAAGTGGTTCAAAAGCTACGGTTTATAAAAAAAATCTATTTTTTCGAACCACCATAGCACAGAAGGAGCCACTTTAATGGCGAACTAAAAAAATACTGGTGCAATATTTTTCGATAAGGAACACTATTACCAATTGTTATGAAATTCAAAGATCCACTCTAACTTTTTGACGTAGAACTACGTCTGTGAATTATATATGGGGGTACACTTTGTGAAAACCGAAAATGAAACATGTAACAAAATTATGAAAGATTTTGAACATTAATAACTCAGCTGCCCCTAGACCAATTTCAATAATTTTATCACCAATCGATCAGAAATACTCCTACGCATCTGTTCAATTTACGACTTTATAATTTTTAAATAAAGTCACCATTGAAAAATGCACGAATGTGCTACTGTTGCTAAGATAATTAAAATTATCATCGATTACCAGCGAAAAGCCATTTCCCTAACACAGACTTCAAAGTTGAATTCCATTCGATTGTATCGAACGGTGTTTATTCAATCACCGCGTGGTGAGTGGTGGTGTTCTCCAGTACACAACGAAAGGCTGCCTGCAATCAGTGAACGGCAGCCAACATGAGCATCCATAGAAGGAGGAAGAAGCCGCTCCACTATTGATCGGAATCAGTAGCTCTTCGTGAGTTACTGTGGGCCATCTATGTCAAGCGCGTCATACTAAAGAGTATAAACATAGAGAAAACTGCTCAAATTCCTACTCCTACACAAAACACAAGCTCCTGCTGCAGTTACCAAATAAGATTTATTATATAAGACCACGTAGTCCTACATCACCATTTCGTACAACCCCATAGAGCAGTACCTTGTAGTTTTTTTTAAGGAATTGCTGTTATACATATTGACATCATTTCCATCCACCAGTTGGACAATTTTATAATAAAATCAATCATTAGGCAACCATACATGTACTTACTTTTTTACTGGACCGCTTATGGTAGATTTGGGGATGCAGCACGCACAGATACCGGTCGACTGCCATACAGACTAAGATAACAGCACTTTGTTGTGATAAAGCTCCACGTAGCAAGGCCTGCGGTGCATTTTCAACCTAAATTACATACCTTTTATTTGAAATGATTGAAATGTACCTGAATTTGGCAAAATATTTCACCGTAAGGCCAGCAGTGTAGTAAGGCAGGTAACGCCCCGAAGGGTATGATCAGCAACCCAATTGCCAAATCGTTCAGCGCCAGTGATGTCAGCAGGTACCGGGGCTGTGGGTGGATGTAGGCGGCATACCGGCGACTGTTGATGACGATGATGACCATTAGATTCGCGCTGATCACCAGAAACGTGAGGAACACTATGAACAGTGCCTGTAGGACATCCAGCGGGCCAATATGGGCGAAGAAATTGCCGGTGAAACGGTTATTCGAGCAACTGATATTATTTATCGCTGGTGCCACGAGATGTTTGCCAGCTTTCAGATCCATTACAGCAGCAACAACATTATCTGCGAAAAGAACAGAGCAAAAGAAGGAAATTCAGAACATAAAACTAAAACAGAATCCCCTGTATGTACCCGGCATGTGGTCCCCGATGACGGCGACGACGGAAGTTAGTTCATTCATTAGTGAGAAATATTGACTGACCCAGATAGCTTGAATTGAATTACGACTCAGGAAGGCCCAGTCACTGCATTGCGGCTGGTCGCAAAAAAAATCGAGCCCAGGGTTTTGATTTGAACTTCTAAGAACCGTTGTTGCTGTCCCATACTCTTCAAGGCCAGCGCAGTAGATTACATTTGGATTCATTGGAAGTTTACATTAAGCTCACATGAGCCGGGCTATAATGCCAAGCAAGCAAGCCAACCGTACGTAACAAGCACACTCTGTAGTCTGTAGTCAACATGTTTACCCCCGTTTCACTTGATCTCCCCCACACCAATGCCATTAAATAGGACACAGCGCTCTCATTGCATTGAAAATCAGAGATCCAGAAGTGGTAAAGTACGGCACCCAACCGGATTGATTCCTCAAACAGTCCTCTTGGTGTGACATAATCCCCGGAACCTTTCCAGCCTTACGTGACACTCAACATTGAAACCATTTCACTAGGATTCTGCCGCCACGGTCAGACAATGCGCCTCTTTCTTCCGTGCCGGTCGTCCTTCGGTTGGTCGTGTTGATAGAATCTACCGAAGAGTGGCCATTCAGAGGGAAACAGAAACATACAAAAGTTTGTTCACTTTTCACCCAACAATGGCCCCCACAACTTGGTCAAACAAATGTACGCCGGCTTTACCCGGTCGGTCTTGTATCCTCACTCGAACCACCGACTGTTGTGGGGCCGTTTCTCGTGCCAATGTGGTTTTCCACAAGAAAACTGAAATTAATTTAATTGTTGTGTTCGTTTCATGCCACGAATGGAAACAAATTGTTTGGGGTGAAATTCTCCGGGTTAAGGAAATGTTGACCACGACGGACACTCGGATGTTGAAGTTGAGAGCACCATGCTGGGCGGAGGATGTTTTAATCCGTTCTCTTATGGACTTTGCAAATTTTTCTGTGATAGTCAGCAAGGGCAACGAGTTGGTGAAACGAATGTGTGTAATTTCTTCAGAATAAAAGTGCTACAATTTTTTGAGAAAAAATCGAATACGTTATTTTGAAAAATTTACTAGATCTAAAATGGGTGAGTTTGAGCAAAAATGTGAATCATTGTCCGTAGCAAACAATTACGTAAACTTTCATACAAATCGGAAAATGCCGATTAAAAAAAATCATTTCTTTCACTATCGCTAGTCTGGCACTGCTCCATGGGTGCTTGAAACCAGAGGCCTCGTTTCGCAAGTCGAACGACAAACTTTTTCATACAAGCGTTCATACAAAAAATGCATTCGATTTGTGCAATGTGGGCCCAGATTTGAATCCATCAACATGTTTCAATCATTTACACAAATAAAAAATGCCATGAATATAGCGCTGTAGCCTTTCACAAGGACTTCGTGGTCGTGTGGTTAGCGACGTCACCTGTTCGATTCCCGCTCCAGTCGGTGGAACTTTTTGCAACCCGGAAAATTCCCTTCTGATCTACTGGGTGTTGTGTTGTTGTCCGTTGTCAAATGTTAAGTGTTCAGTCTATGCAACTTCTGGTTGAAGTTGTTGCCAAAGGAAGAATAACAAACTCCTTGGCCTGAACAAGACGTTAGAATGCTCCAGACCAGTGCTGATAAAAATCATTCCTTCTATACTCAACATAGCTGAAAATGAAGACAACCTCAACAGATAGACCAACTACCTGCATGAACCTGAATTTTGACATAACAACATTCTCTTGATCAAGGCAACCTCTGAGTATCGTAAAGTCAACATTTTTTGTTTTTCTTCATTCGTGGCTGGATGTTCATTATCGCCTCCGTTGTTGTCAATATTAATATTCGGCTTCATCTTGGTGGGGATGATTTTGAGGATCAAATGCAAAATGATTATTTTCATTTACTCAAATATAGCGCTGAAGGACGTGTCATGTTAGTTTTTACACACAAACCGATGGAAAACTATGGTCTCAAGCTGAACTGATGATAAAATGCCGGTTTTAGGCTCTGGAGCCGACAATATTCATTTTGCCCAAAATGAATTGGATTATTTTGCTTTTGAGAATCATTTCTGATTTTGACAATTTTGGGTAATCAAGCACTGGAGAATATCAACAAACTCGTTGATGTATAATGAACTCATTTTTTTTTTCATTTCGCTCTTACGTTACAGCGAAGAATTTCAAAACAAACAAAATTTCATCTACACTGGGTTGAAGCGGGTTGTGATGGTAAATGATAAAAACAGTATCAACATAAATTTAAAGAATGTTAATTTCTTTCTAGGTAAGAAAGTCTTTAAGCTGGGTTTATATGAAAAAAGTGAGTTGAATTTAACCCATCCCGATCTGGTGGTCGGCGTTCTATTGAGTTTACATTGAAAAGAGCAAGTCCAACATCGGAAAATTTCTGAACGTTCGAGTGAATTGAACGCTAAAATGAATGATCTAAGTCCGGTTTTAAACTGGGCTTAGACAAGGCAAATCAAGTAAGTTGAATTCAACTGCCGTTAACGTAAATTGAATGATGTCATCCACTCACTTGAATTGAAAAAAAAGTTGAACAATTAACTTGCCTTGTCAAATCCCAACTTTAGAGATTTTTCCTATCTTAAATAATATGATGCTGGATAACGAGAAGTGATGAAAATGGCATGTGTCATTGATTAATACAATTTAAATGTACCTGCTGTTTATCTCGATCCTCTTGTGTATTGGAATTGATTGGTTTACCAATTTTTATTGGAGTTCAAGCTGTTGTAGATATGTCACACTATAACCTTTTTACAAGAATTAGTGGCCTGAAGGAATCAAGTAGGAATCCTTTTGAGGAAGTAATTCTATGTTCATGATGATCAAATCAGTTCAAAGCTGATTGGTCGTGATGTTAAGAGGTCGGTGGCATATTTTTTATTCAACGGATTCTAAAGTGGTGCAAAATGTGCATTAGGGCTGATGCAAATATTAATTTAACTTTACGTACTACATCACTCCAATAGGGGTCAACAAATAACATATACAAGGGACATGATCAAAAAACTTGTCTTATAATAAATTAATTAATTATAAAAAATAAATAAATAAATACATAAATAAATAAAAACTGGCCTTACAATGGGCAATATCAACACCACCTATGTGCCCCTACAGGTCAATTAGGGATAAGGTACCAATGACTGAAAGTCTCTTAAACAAAGAAACTAACTAGTCCACCAAATGGATAGGAATTTGTTGACGTGATACTCACTTTGATAGAAGTATAGACCTCTGCACTTCCATAAGAAATCACTGAGATGGTGAAGTTGCCCGAGCAGGAGAAAATAATATAGACTACCATGCATCTCCATGGATTTATAGCAACTGTAACATGGTCACGACGCGTGGTAGTCTAGTCGCATAGGAGTATTGAGCGAAAACCCAAAACTTGATAACTTCAAAAAATATAACTCAAAAACGAAACACACAATTTAATTGTACCTGCTGTTTATCTCGATCCTCTTGGGAATTGGAATTGATTGGTTTACCAATTTTTATTGGAGTTCAAGCTGTTGTAGATATGTCACCTTATAACCTTTTTACAAGAATAAGTGGCCTGAAGGAATCAAGTAGGAATCCTTTTGAGGAAGTAATTTTATGTTCATGATGATCAAATCAGTTCAAAGCTGATTGGTCGTGATGTAAAGAAGTCAGTGGCATAGCAGCAACTGTTTTGCTTACTCAGCAGAAAATTTTCTAGGTTAATTCCCACGCTCGTTTTATTAAAGTTTTTTTTTTTGCACTCTTCTGCATGATCGTGAAAAATCTCCATTAATAGAACTTGGTTGGAACTTTGGGGAAATAAGTTGTGTTTTCGGTCAAATGTGATGAATTCTCGATCCGGGTTCAAATAAATAGTTGACTCCTGCTGGGTGTGTCGTTCCATGCGAATAGCTTGATGCCACCCAACATATACCTACATCGGCCACAGTGACTTGTTGTGATGTACGAGGTTCGGAGGCAAGAGTTTTTGCTTACTGCGCAGAAGGTCCAAAGCTCAGTTCTAGGCTCTGCCCATTGCAGCGTGGGTTTCATTTAAGGGTTTTAATCTGGGATTAAAATGCAGAATTCGAAACGAATAAACTTTCTAGAATCAAGCATTTCATTCATCACGCTAGAGTTAAAAATGGACTTTTTTCCATTTCACCTAATGTGACCTGGTATCTCAAATAATTCTATTTGAATTGCTTCGAGTTTCCAGGTTTGGAAAACGAGTTCAATAATGATTTGTTGTGAAGCAGGAACTCGATGCCCTACTAGCAACCGTTTTTGCTTTCAGAGCAGAAGATCGTTGGTTAAACCGTTCGTTTCTTCTATGCAAGCTTAATTTAGTAGAAAAAAACATGGAAAATCTCTATTAACACAGCACAATCGGAACTTTGCGGAAATAAATGGTAAAATTTGACGTAGGTTCGATCCGAGTTCAAATAAATAGTTGGCTCCTTCTGGGGGCGTTATTTCATTTGAATAGATTCATGTCGCTGGGCTTAAACGAGACTTAAATTGGGGGCTCGGTGGCTTAGTGGCGACCGTTTTTGTTTATATATATTTTATCAGGCCTGTAGCTGATTGCATCAGTTTCCATAGTTAATCCAAATATAATTTACACTGCCCACTAACAAATAGTCTTTCCGGTGACTGACATGCAGATGCAGAGGTACATATCGTCTCCTTAGTACTAAAACTGGGTATATTTCTTAGTTGTTGCAATGATTGGACTATATATATGGTTTCTAGTAGCAACGAATTTCAAACTAACAAGCCTTCCCTTCCCCGATGACCATACGGACATGGTAAAACACATATCTGTAGGTTTTGTGACTGTGAGACAGAGACCTCTCAACATTTTCTCTGCGAATGTTCGGCACTA